ATTGTCAGCCTTGAAACAAGTAATGAAATAATCAAAATTCTGGTTCTAGCTCAGAAATTCATTCCAATAATGACCTCGATCTGTCCATTGCTCTTAGAAAAGGGGTTCGAACTTGTATTTGACACCCCATGTCTAACTTTGTATCCATGCAGAGTTTATCACCACAATACCGAGCCTTTCTTTCTCAAGTTCTGTCTCAGCAAGTTCCCTCATCTGTTCAAGAAGCTTTAACCTCAAAACCATGGAGGGAGGCCATGAGCGAGGAGAAGAGAGCGCTCAAAAAAAATCAGACCTGGGAAGTTATTGATTTACCAGAAGGGAAAAAGACATTGGGCTGCAAATGGATTTTTACAGTCAAATACAAAGCTGGTGGCACTTTGGACAGATACAAAGCAAGGCTAGTGACCAGAGGGTACCCTCAAACATATGGAATAGACTACCATGAGACATTTGCCCCAGTGGCGAAAATGAATACAATTAGAGTTCTTCTATCTTTGGCAGCAAATAAGGATTGGCCTCTACACCAGTTTGATGTGAAGAATGCTCTCCTCCGTGGAGACTTAGAAGAAGAAGTCTATATGGATATTCCAACGAGGTATGAGCTGAAATCGTGCGAAAATAAGGTATGCAAACTTTAAAAAAATCCCTCTATGGCCTTAAGCAGTCTCCACGGCCTTGGTTTGGGAAGTTCACTAAGTCAATGTTAAAAAGGGGGTACTTTCAAAGTCAAGGTCATCACACCTTATTCATAAAAAGGTCCTCCATTGGAAGAGTCACTGCTTTAATTGTATATGTAGACGACATTATTGTCACGGGTGATGACACTGAAGAAATGATGGCGTTGAAGATTTATTTAGCAAAAGAATTCGAGATCAAGGACTTGGGAAAACTAAGATATTTTCTTGGAATTGAAGTTGCTAGATCTAAGCAAGGGATCTTCATTTCTCAACAAAAATACACCCAAGATCTTCTTCAAAGCCATTGATACTCCGATAGAACCCAACCACAAGTTAGGAGGAAAAAAGGAAGAAGGAATGATTGATTGTGGAATGTACCAGAGAATGGTTGGAAAACTGATCAACTTGTCACATACAAGACCGGACATAGCCTATGCAGTAATTGTAGTGAGTCAGTTTATGCATGCCCCACTTAGATTACACCTCAATGCAATTTATAGAATCATCAGATACTTGAAAGGGACATCCAGCAAGGGACTATTATTTCGGAAAGATAAGGAGCTGAAATTAGAAGCATATACCGATGCCAATTGGGCTGGATCCATGGTTGATAGGCGGTCAACTACTGGCTATTGTACCTTCTTAGAAGGGAATTTAGTTACGTGGAGAAGTAAGAAACTATTGTAAATTGTTAAAATTTGGATGAGCAAATATAAAATGCAAATCAAGAATAAGCGGAAGATGGAAAACGCAGAGATTTACATGGTTCGGCACTAAGGCATACATCCATGGACGAAGAGCCACTAAGGGCTACATTTCTATCATTCAGATCTATTTTTGTTTTAGTACAAAGAGCCTACCTAAGAAGCACGGACACGGATACGACACGACACCGACACGGCAAATCCAAAAAAATTAGGACACGGATACGGCGAATATATATATATATATATATATATATATATATGATGTAGTACTTTAAAAATTACTGAGTGTTACTATTTTTCATCAACCTCACAATAAAAAAAAAAAACACAAATCATAACTCATAACTAATAAACTATAAAAGAACAATGTTGCAGAATTATAAAACCAAATAAAAAATAAGACATTAGAATAATAACTAGTATCATTTAATCATCATTGCAACTTTACTCCAAATACAAAAGCATAGACAGAAAGGACTATTAACATTCATGACTTTACTATTAACACTTAACATTCACAAAAACCTAAAGGCTAGTCCCCAAAAAAGATACAAAAACAAGTCAGTGTACTATCATCTATTCCCATCCATCATTTGACCTAGGACTTTTACCATTTACAATACCAAAAGGGTAGTACAAAACAAAGAAAAAAAAGAACATATCAGCATTCAAAAAAAAAAAAATTCCAGAAGTATCCATGCCGTGTCCGTGTCCGTGTCTGCGGAGTGTCCATGCTGTGTCCGCGGAGTGTCCATGCCGTGTCCGTGCCGTGTCCGAAAATTCAAAAAAAATAAAAAATTCCAGACACATTTTTTGGCGTGTCCGACGCATGTCAAACACTGATTCTTCGCCCATTTTGGAGTGTCCGTGCTTCCTAGGAGCCTACATATAGGCATGGTAAAGATAAGAAAATATGGAAGGTGTACAATTGTCAAATGAGGCACCGTGATTAGTGGAGGATTTTGTTCCACCGTTATATAGAAATATTTATCGTTTTTAAGGAAATTGCCCGAATCACCGTGATTGGTGGATGATTTTGCTCCACAATTATATAGAAATATCTATATATTTCAACACTCCCCCTCAAGTTGAAGCATGAATATCATGAATGTACAACTTGCCAAAGAAACGCCTCGAAAGATGATGAGAAAGTGTCAAGAACAAAACCTGGAAATTGACCGGATCTTGCCAGGGAAAATGGCCGAAACTGCACTGGGGAAAATGGCCGAAACTGCACGGGGGAATGGCCGGAACAACGCCGGGAAATGGACGAAACTAAGCTGGGAAATGGCTAGAACTAAGCCGGGAAATAGCCGGAACAATACTGGTAAAAGACGGAACAACGTCGGGAAAAGCCGGAATAATGCAGAGAAATGATCGGAACTAAACCGGGAAATGGCTAGACCTAAGCCAGGAAATGGGTCGGAACTATGCGGGAAATGGACTGGAACTATGCCGGGAAATGGAATGTGAAGAGTGAAGACATAGTGAATATGCTCCATGATAATAATATCAATACTCCCCTCAAATTATAGATGGGATTACAAGAACATCTAGGCTCTAACACCGTGTTAAAATTTGGATGAGCAAATATAAAATACAAATCAAGAATAAGCAAAAGATGGAAAGCAAAAAGATTTACATGGTTCGGCACTAAGGCCTACATCTATGAACGAAGAGCCACTAAGGGCTACATTTCTATTATTCAGATCTATTTTTGTTTCAGTACAAAGAGCCTATATATAGGCATGGTAAAGACAAGAAAATATGGAAGGTGTACAATAGTCAAATGAGGCACCATGATTGGTGGAGGATTTTGCTCCACCATTTTATAGAAATATTTATAGTTGGAAGGAAATTGCCCAGATCACCGTGATTGGTGGAGGATTTTGCTCCACAATTATATAAAAATATTTATATATTTCAACATCAATAATGAAATAGAAGTAAAGAGAGAAATGAAACTAGAAGAACACATATATATTACTAGGTTCAGCCACTAGGGCCTACATCCACCGCACAAAGAGCCCAAAGGGCTACATCACTTTTATAATACTCTCTCAATTCATACACAATACAATGGTGGAGGCTCCTTTATATAGGATAATAAATTATGAGAATGGAAAGCATTAGAAAATACGAAACAAGGAGGATTTTTATCCACTAATTCCTCTAGTAACACCAAATCTTCAATAATAGGAAACAACATCAATTACTGAAAGATTTTCCTCCACTGATTCCTCCATTAAATCTTCAACAGAAACAACCAGTGGTTGCTCGCTCTAGTGTAGAGGCAGAATTTAGAGCTATGGCTCAAGGGATATGTGAACTAATCAGACTGAAAATGATACTCTCATATTTGAGGGTAGAAGGGAAGGATCCACTGATGTTATACTGTGATAAGAAAGCAGCTATAAATATTGCTCATAATCCAGTACATCACGACCAGGCCAAACATGTGGAAGTGGATAGACATTTAATCGAGGAAAAATTGGACTCAGGACAAGTATGCACTCCATACGTTCCATCCTCTAAACAGATTGCTACTAAAGGATTATCTAGCACAATTTTTCATCAGATTGTGGACAAGCTTTGGATGCAAAATATCTTTGCACCAGCTCGAGGGGAAGAGTTGGAATAGTGGCTGTACAAATATGATTGTAATTTAGATCCTAATTTTTTGCTCTTAATTTAGGAGAGTAAGGAGAGTTACCTAGTATAGCCTAACGTAGGTCTACTCTTGTATTTATATATATCTGTGTAATTCTTCCATAATAAAGCAATGTGGTTCATTCTTCACAAATTGACACTCTGATTGCTGCCAAAAGGGGTATCAATTCCAACTGTTTCAGTGTTTTCCCACACAGGTGGTGGGAGATGCAAAACAGAGTCTCCATCAGCAACAATACTCTTATTATTCCATAATATTCTTCTTCCATTTCTTCAACTGTAAAATCCCTTTGTTAAAGGCAATTTGAACATTAAGAGAGGGTCATTCCTGACCCTCAACAATCTTTTGATCTTTGTAGCCATTGACCGCCAAAGTGGGGATACTTTTATTCGACTGGTTCACAGCCCACTTTTGGACCAAAGGACGGCAAATATATTTTTCTGCCAAACAGTTTCCCAATTCATAAAACAAATGGGAACCAAAATATCCTGTATATAGAAAACTATGTTCAAAAATCCCAATTTAATCGAAATAAATATAAAATGACTGCCCAATCCTTAATTTTCTTATCTATTACTCTTCTTGCTCTTCATGCTTTCGTGACATAAATTCCAAATGTTTTCCCAACTAAGTCCTATGTTTTCCCAACTAAGTCCTGAGTTACAAATTATTCCATTGAAAACACAAAATAATTCTCAATATTCCAGATTTTTGCTACTATGAATGCAAGCGATTTAAAGTTAGCAATCAGATTAACAAACAATAATAGGTTCTCAAGCATCTATCAGAAAGCAGAACATTCAGTTTCTTTCTTTTTGACCAAAAATAATAATAATAATAATATACAATTGTAATTTACTTGTTCATGTGGAAAAAGTTTGTCAGAACAGACACAGCACAAAATCAAATTGGGATTGAGAGAAACAGCAAGTAGTACATTGATACCTTCCTGAGCGAGTCTACAGGGTTAAAATGTTTTTGGAGGTTAGCTAGCCGAGAGAGAGCCGAAGAAACCATTCTCGGAGAGGGTGAGATTCAAAACAAACCCAAGCAGCAGCAGAAATGTGCGCGAGATAGAAAAAGAGTTGGGAGGTAAAACGTTTCCCCCCTCTCCTTCTCTATCTTCGTCTACTTAATCCCTCTCCTCTCTCTATTCAATTCTAATCTGTGTCTGTTCCGGGTGCGAGTCCTCTGAAGTGATTAAACCTACGGTGCGCTGACCATAGAAATGGTTTTTTCCATTGGTGTTCCACCTTCCGTTGACTTATACGGAGTAAGCTTATTACCAAAAAAAAATTTAAATTAAAAAATTTAAATTAAAAAAAAAAAAAATTAAAAAAGAAGAAGAAGTAGAAATTAGGGTTAATTATAGCCATATCCTTTGAGCTTTACCTTATTAACGCGAATGAAAGTTGGCTCATTTTTAAACACTCAGACCCGTCATAAATTTGATCAAAACAGGCCCTTAAATTATGAAAAAATACAAGATTATCCTTTAATAAAATATTAATCTTTAAACTACAATATCATAATTTTTATATGACAAAATTATCCTTACAAACCAACAAAGACCCAGAATTTTCTTGCCCTACCATTGCCGTCTCCGCCATCTCACCACTGTCACCTCAACTTCAACCTCAACCTCAACCTCCACCACCACTATCACTCACCACCCATCATCGCCATTATTAACCACATTTGTTATTACTTTCGAGAAATTAATAGAACTAGGCTTAATCAAACATACACATACAGACATACTGCATCATCCACACATACTACGTCATATACAAAGGGAATAGGATATAGATATAGAGAGAAGATCCAGAAGAAAATCACCCACCCACCGCCGGGAACATACTGCATCAAGGCGCCGATGGTGATTGAGTCACCGAGGAAATTTAAGAAAAGCTAATTGATAGGGTCATCCCAACGGTGGAAATTCCAAGATGACCTTCACCAGAGCAACAACGATGATGCATCATGGACAATCTCGATGTCGCCACTAGTGAAGTATTTCTCAACGTGCCGATTCAAAACAAAAGACTCGTAACTCCATTTCCTTTCTGATTTTTAATTTAAAGAGATAGCGGTGGCTATAATTTGAGATTGTCATTCAATTGGGTTCTTCGTGGGTTCAATTGGGATGTCATGGATTGCAGGCAAATGGCAAAGATAGGGTGATTGGGGAAGAAAATGAGGGTGAGTCAGATTTTTATTAAAAAAATTAAAAATCAAGGGTAGCCATGGTTATGGTGGTGTGCCGCCAATGGAGTTGGTTCTTCCCCTCTTCCCCATTCTCTCTCTCTCTCTCTCTATATATATATATATGTATTCTGTGCAGATTGTAGAGATGAAAAGGGTAGTTTAGTATTTTAAAGTTACTTAGGAGGTTAAATCGGTAGCTTAATATTTTAATGGGTCAAGTAATAAGTCAAAGGGTATTTTAGTCATTTTATAATGTGTCATAGTATGTAGGGGTGTCTTTGTTAAAGGGAGCAAACTTGAGGGGATGTTATTGTTCAAAAAAGGCCTAACTTTCATCTGGCTATCAATAAAGTAAACCTCAGGGGGTGTGGTTGTAATTAACCCAAGAAATTAAAACAGATGAGTCATCATCAGAAATTCGACCCTAAACAAAATAAAAGGCCAAAGAGGGTTTGGAACATAGAATAACAAAAGCTGCTTGAGGCAGGATTTTAGGGAAGAATGTCCAATTTCACAATAAGATTACAGGTGTATGTTCAAATCTTTGTTTGCTATATTGACAACGCTCAAGTGAGAGGTCGCTTCACAATGTCAAAATATAAATGTGGTTTAGGAAGCCTTTTTAGTCAAATTTACATTTATAAAACAACTACTATTACTAATGAAGTATAGCGAGTAGGGATCATCCGCAAGGATTAAACACGTAGTTGGAATCTCACTTTGACTCTAATGTTTCACAAGATTGCAAAGAAAGGGGTTGTTTGGTTGATTTAGTCTAAAATGCAATTAAATTAAACTAAAGTGAGCTAAGGTTTGAATGATAGGAAGAGAGGTCTTAGGGTGTTGGAATCACCACCAAGCTCATTCACTAAACCACATACTTTCAACTAATTAGGGAAAACCTTCTTGTGAACAAAATGTAGCTACCAATTGCAATATTAAGAATGAACCATCAAATTCAAGCATGAATTGTCTTCCTAACCAACAAGTAAATTAAGTGTAGCACAACACATCAAGTTTTAAGTAAGACCCATCAAATTAGTAACAATTGTAACACACATCAATCTAGAATATCATGGAATTTGCAATAATAAGCCATGGACTATCAAATTCAAGCATAGATTGTCTACCTAACCAATAAGTAAACTAATGTGTAAAACAACCCAAAAGTTTTAAGCATAATCCATCAAATTAATTGACAAATCCATCCAATAAAAACCATGCATAGCAATCACTAAATCCTTAATTAATCACACATAGACATGTAACCAACATAGAGAATCTAGTGTAGAGATCAATTCTCAAATAATCACAAATAAGACAACATGTAATTACAAAGAGAATTAATAGGAAGAATTAAACCATAAAAATCAAAGGAGAACCTAAGATTCATTTTATACACAAGGCTATTGCACTAATCACAAGAAACAAGTCCCCAAAAAGATGAAAGATAAGGGTTTAGATTACAAGCTTGGGGCTCATCCAAGCCCCAAGGAGAAGTCTAGCCAATCATGGAAAAGGTGGACGTGGTCATGGAACCCTCAAGGGCAATCCCTAAACATAGCTTCATCTTTTTCCTCTTCTTTTTTGTTGAATTATAGAGAGAGAGTATGTAGATCTTGAGATGTATTATTGGTGCCTCCACTATACTCTTTTCCCAAAACCCTAATCTCTAACTTTTCTAGAGAGAAAACTAATAAAAATATAAAAATTACAATGTAAATTATGTAAGATCCTTTACAAATGGTTCATTTCCCCTTTCCTTGGAGTGCCATACAAGTCAGAAGAATACACCCCAAAAATATCTAATCTCGCAGCCATTTGGTAGGTGAAGTTCAGGTGAAGTCGAAAATAAAACAACTCTCTTCCAGGCAATTTGCGATCGATCGCAGAAATTCACGATCGATCGTGGATTCTGTGATCGATCGTAGCTGACATAGAGGGCTTATCTTGACAACTGGCGGCCTTATCTGCTGACGTGGCTTACGATCGATCGTGGAATTCTGCGATCGATCTTGACTTTGAACGAACGATGATGTGGTGGCCTTATCCATTGCTAACGTGGCTACGAACGTTGACGTCGCCTTCCATCGATCGTGAAGAATCTGCGATCAATCGTGAATGCTCCAAGGTAATTTTCTAAACTTTTTTTAGATTTTCTTCTTGACTCCAAAAAGGCTTTAATAGACTATTTGTCGCTCGTTTGAACATTATTGACCTGAAATAGCAAAAACACAAATTAAAACTAAAACGGGAAAGTAAGATAGATAAAGGGACTAAACTTCCCTAGCTTAGGTGCTAAAATGTGCAACATTTGAGCACTTATCATGTATCAACTTCACCTATCCCGAAACCCTAAATTCAAGCAAGGGTTTTGAACAGAGAACAACAAAATCAGAAAGCATGATTTAACAAAAGAAGGTCCAATTTTGCAACAAGATTACTAGTGAGTCCTTTCTAGCATTGTCTATGTTTAATTTCATATTAAAATCTTTGTTTACTGTATCAACTTCACCAATCCAGAAACTGTATTTTCTTCAACTCTAAAATTCATCTCTACCACTTTAATTCCATATTGATTCACCATCGATTACATCATAAAAAAAAATTGTAGAACGTATAAGATGAGTTCTCAAGCTTTAAATAACCCTAAAACAAATAAGATGGGTAGTCGAGCTTTAAAAAACCTGTAGAACATATAAGATGAGCTCTCGAGCTTTTAGCTTTTCTTTTCATTGAATGTTCCAACTAAACAATGGTTACAATGCAACTTGCTAACTTCATTAACTTTTTTCTGGCTGCGTATTTTATTTTATTTAAAAAATGGTAATGCCCAGAAGGAATGGCTAAAATAGTCTAATTAGTAACAGATTTCAATGTTTAACAACTCAATATAAGAGACCTTTAATATATACAATATATGTGTGTGTGTGTGTGTATTCAAGTCTCGTATTGGAAATAACATAGTAGAATTTTGTATAATAAAAGAGGTTTAGACCATTTTCTTTATCATTTTGATCTCAAGATTATGATTAACATCTTCATAACAGGTAGTAATTTGGGCTAGTTACATAGTGCTAAAAAATTAATGTTACACATAAATTTAACTCAATTCAACATATTAATTATGTTTTATTGAAGTTAAATTTTATCATAAAAAATAGAGCATTCAGAAAAATAGTCACATGTGAATTTAATGAGGATTTTGAAGGGGATTATGAGGTATTTGGCTGTCAACAATATTCACTTTTTAGGTGGTAATGTTACCTTGTTATAAATGGTGATATTACTTTTTAGACTCTTATGATGTTTACTTAGAAATGGTGGTAAAAAAAAAAAAAAAAAAAAAAAAAAAAAAAAAAAAAAAGAAAAAAAAAAGAAGCTTACTAAAAGACCTGTGTAACATTTCACTTTTTTGTGTAATTGTTGCATCTGAACGCGGTCTACTGTTAAATGAAAAAGGACATAGCCAAATGGAGACAGTAGGTATGTGCCTTGTCCTTCTGTGTTTAAGAGGGGGGCACAATTCAACATATTATTTGAAATTAAATTTTGCCACAAAAAATTTTAGATCCTGCAATATACTGCCTGTAAAATTTGAGATCCTGCAACTCCGAGGCAGTACGAAATACGATGATGGATGTGATAAACCTGGCATTAAGCTTGTAAATTTATTTAAAGTCTTATTATGATCTCCGTTTTATAAGTGCAACTTCTGATTATGAACTCATAAACTCGGAATATAAAATGGGAAAGATTAAGCACGTGGCCAAGCGCAATGAAAAAAAGAAAAAATATGCAACAAAAGCCAAAGGAAATGAAAAAAAAAAAAAAAAAGTTTCCCAAACGCGGTCTAAAAAGGAAGACTGATGTGTCGAAATGCGATGGAAAAAGAATTACTTTGGATAGTGAAAGTAATTATGATGATGCTTCGTACTCTCCTTATGCTACTTCTTCGTCTCAATCATCAAGTAGTACCGATGAGATTGAAGGTGGAGCTTATTTGAAGCATAGAAAGGT